ATCATGAAAACGTAGGGGTATGAACTCACCTCGTGTGTGAGTTCCTGGTTGGTTACGAAGTGGTTGTGACGATCCTTTGCTTAGAACACGCGATTATAAACGTATCCTAATAATATTTATACACATAATTACATGTATAAATTAGATAACTAATAATTTAACAAGATAAATAATATTATTTCGTATAGATTACTTACTAATAGTGAAGAAATTCCTGGGTATTGATTTGAATGTTCATATGAAAGTTTGAAAGTTTGAAGGTTAACTAGGTAACTGCTTGCAGATACGAAGGGTTTGCTATTTGTTTTGAGAGCATATGAGTGATATGAGTTTACTGTAAGTATCAAATGAATTCATTTCTTCCATAAATATGAAGGAAATTCATAAGGCGGTGAATGTATGGTTTACGGTAGTAATCACATTGGGAGGCTAACTTTGGATATGATTTGAAGAGTTTATGGTTTAGATTAAACAGGAAATGTGAGAAATGAAGTATGTTTTCGACAAAACACTAATTTATAGGGGGTGTTTACGGTTCAACACAATTGGGTTTTCGCCCCTAATTGGGCTAAAAAGGTGTTTTCGGATTCCTCCAACCGAAAACCCAATTATCCTTTATTTCCAAAACCGTAAATTGAAAACGTTTATATATAAACTCCATTTATATATAAACTCCATTTCCTTTAATTAGTTTGGTTGAAAACTCATTTAATGGTTATATTTATGTTTTAAACCCTTAGTCTTTTAACTTATTTTTATTTATAACACCCTAAATTGGCTTAGTTTTCAATCCATACTTCTTTGTTAACTCTTTAAACAAGCCCTAAGGCTATAGATGATAAAATGCAACAAGGCATGAAATGAAATTTTTACTAGTACTTGGCTAGGGTTTAGACAATTTCGTCCCGAAATTGTTTTTAAAGTGATACTCATGAACTAGGAAAAAGATGTGGATACTTTTGTTTCATTTGATCTTTCTCGTTCCCAAGTGAATTCAGGTCCCCGCTTGGCATTCCAGCGAACCTTCACTATTGGTATACGACTTTGTTTTGTTCTTTTGATTTCCATATTCATGATCTCCACTGGTTCTTCTATGAAGTGTAGACTCTCGTTTAACTCGATTTCGTCGAGTAGGATTACAAGAGTCTCCTCAGAGAGACACTTCTTGAGATTAGAGACGTGAAAAATAGGATGAATGTTACTGAGTTCATGCGGTAGTTTGAGTTTATAAGCAACCGGACCAATTCTAGCAAGAATCTCGAATGGTCCGATCTACCTTGAATTTAGTTTTCCACGTTTTCCAAAACGTATCATTCCTTTCCAGGGTGAGACCTTTAACGAGACGCGGTCACCAACCTGGAATTCCAAGGGTTTTCGTCGTTTGTCTGCATAACTCTTTTGCCTATCTTTAGAGGCTTTTAATCGTTCACGGATTTGGACAATCTTTTCTATGGTTTCTCGAATGATCTCGGGACCGGTTAGTGTACTTTCGGGTATTTCGTTCTTGGCTAGATGCGTATCGCCCACTTGAGCCCAACACAGAGGAGATCTGCACTTGCGGCCATAGAGGGCTTCAAATGGAGCAACTTTGATGCTAGTGTGATAGCTGTTGTTGTACAAGAATTTGACGAGTGGAAAATGGGTATCCCAAGCTTTACCAAAATCTATCACACAAGCTCTCAACATGTCTGCCAGCGTTTGTATGTTTCTCTCTCTTTTCCCATCCGTCTGAGGATGGTACGCTGTACTCATGTCAAGATTGGTTCCCAAGGACTTTTGCAGTGATTGCCAAAACCGCGCGGTAAATCTACTATCTCGGTCAGAGATAATAGATATTGGCACACCATGAAATCGTACTATTTATTTAATGTGCATCCTTGTTAACTTCTCAATTTTATCAGTTTCTTTTATTGGCAGGAAGTGTGCGGATTTGGTTAATCTGTCGACGATTACCCAAATGGTGTCATGACCACCCGTTGTCCTAGGTAACTTGGTTATGAAATCCATTGTAATCCGCTCCCACTTCCACTCAGGTATTTCTGGCTGTTGAAGTAAACCTGAGAGCTTTTGATATTCTACCTTGACTTTGGCACAAGTTAGACACTTGCCCACATAGGTAGCAACTTCAGCTTTCATGTTCGGCCACCAATAGAGTTTCTTGAGGTCTAGATACATCTTGTCTGAACCTGGGTGAACGGAGTATCGAATTTTATGGGCTTCATTCATGACAACATCTCTGTAACCACCAAAAATCGGTGTCCAGATCCGATTCATGATATAACGAACTCTGTCACCCTTGATTTCCAAATTCTTTTCCATTCCTCTTAAGGCTTCACTCATCACGTTCTCAGGTTTCAAGGCTTCTAATTGGGCCTCATAGTTAGAGACTTTACTCGACGACATGAGTATTCTTTCCGACTAAGGGCATTTGCTACTACATTGGCTTTTCAGGGATGATAGTGAATCTCACATTCGTAATCATTGAGTAGCTCTACCCATCGTCTTTGTTTCATGTTCAGTTCTTTCTGATTAAAGATGTGCTGGAGGCTTTTATGGTCTGTAAAGACTATACATTTCATACCATAAAGGTAATGCCTCCAGATCTCAGAGCAAAAACCAATGCTCCCAGTTCAAGGTCATGTGTGGTATAGTTAACCTCATGGTTCTTAAGCTGTCTCGAGGCATACGATATGACCTCTCCTCACGGCATAAGAATGCAGCCTAGCCCTTGCTTGGACGCATTGCAGTAGACTACAAAATCTTCCGTCCCTTCTGGGAGGGACAAGATCGGTGCGCTGCAGAGGGCTCGCTTTAGTGTCTGGATAGCAGTTTCGTGTTTCTCTTCCCAAATGAAGGTTACACCCTTCTGGGTCAAGGTGGTGAGTGGCTTCGTGATCTTTGAGAAGTTTTGGATGAATCTCCTGTAGTAGCCAGCGAGACCTAGAAACTGACGAATTTCTGTTGGGGTTCGTGGGGTCGCCCAGTTTTCGATAGCCTTGATCTTGGAGGGATCAACATGTAGCCCTTCCTTGTTGACTACATGACCTAG